GTTTTCTATTTAACTGCTGTATTGATGCCCATTGTCAAGATCTGAATTATTTCACCCATGTCTGTCAGCCGTCTGCTATCTGTTGTTGTTTTGTTTTGCAATGAGCAATGTCTGCTCGATGCGTCGCATCAAATGGCATGCCTGAAATGTCGCTGTGCGTGCGTGGCAATAAAATCCAAGGCATTAAAGCTAATGAGCCCGAAGCAAAAACAAACACAAATTCGTGGGTGTTATTAGAGGAGCCATGCCCATCGCAGCTCTCATCACATAATGAAAATCGTGGGCATATTGCAGTGCATACATTGCTTCATAAAATCAGGACAGCTCCGACAGAGGCGAGCTCATAAAATGACGACGGCGATCGGCGACTACCTACGACAGAAATGGCATAAAATTTACTCGAATTGTTTGTTGTTGTTGTTGCTGATGCCGTTATTGCCATGGGCGTACATAAATTCGAGACAAATATAAACAAATGTCCAGAGAATGCGAGTCAGCAGCTGATTTATGAGCTGATAATAAAATGAAATTGTTGCTCATACGCCTCGTTGAACGAGAGAGCACAACAAGTGTGCGTAGCGTACGGGCTATCAAATAGTATGCTAGAGCAAGGCACCCGGCCATTGCCTGTCAGATAGACACAACTTATAGCAACATTCTTCAAGCTACTAAATAACAATCATACAAATTCCAAGTTTTTGCTTTTGGTTTTTGAAAAAGCCTCAACATGGAGCCCAGCAGTTACCCGAACAGCGATAGTCAAGACGACAATAAGTCGTTGGATAGCTCGTTTTTCGAGACGCTGTGGCCCTTGATATTGGACGATAATCCGTGTCGTGTGGAAAGCGAATCAGTTGACTTTTTCATACCGCGCGTACCATTCGATTATTTGCATTGGCATAGCATGCTGGCCAAGGTTGGCTTCCCGCTCTATGAGCAGCCGCACGATATGCGATGCTGTCAGGCCGCCAAGAATGAGGAAGACTTGGAGAAGTTGGCCGAAACTGAGGCCAACAAAGCCACCGAAGAGCTCAATGAAAAGGCTATTGGCGACTATCAACCCACCGGCTCGCGTGGCATCGTGCGCATCGACAACGAGATCAATAATCAGTGCGAGGCGCAGGAGAGGCGCCAGCGCTTGGCCTACGCCTTTGCCAACCGTGTATATCCGTGGACCATGCAAACACCAATGCAGGAGATCAGCTTCCTGCTCACGGATAAGGTGCGCGATGAGTTCTTCTGCCCGATGGAGCGTGCCATCCTGGAGGGCATCTATCACTATGACTGCAAGCTTATGATAATTGATGCCAGCACTGAGGTCTGCGCCGACGACTTCTTGCGCTGGACAAAGTTCCGTCCATACGTCCAGATGTTGTGTCTGGTGCGCTGTCCGCGCGTCCAGCGCCACCTGCAGCTCCTCAATGTCTTCCACACGCTGATAATAGAGGAAAATATGCGCAACTCTTGGCACGAGGAGCTGCACTGCTCCCTCCGCACGGGACTCAAAGAGGCCACCAGATTGGAGCTCTTCAAGAACTGCGCCGATGCATTTGTTTTCATTTTCTCGCGTTATCGCGGTCTCTGCACTTGCGATACCTTCAAAATTTTACGCCGCACTTGATCATTGGACGTCTTATTAACAAATTTATCTATTAACTTGTCGATTTACTACGAGCGATGTCCAGTATGAAAATCCAAGTTCATTTGTGTTAATGTGAGTTAAGTGTACTATAAAAGTTCAAGTTCTACAATGACAATTATTGTCAGGAGTCAAGAAGATTAAGCAAAACAA